GTGTAAGGGGCCGTTGTTTGATGGATAATTCCATATTCTAAACATATTTGTTCAAAAGGAGATTCATATTCACCACCCCTATCACTTCTTATCATTTTGATTTTCTTATTAAGTTGCGTTTCAACTTCATTTTTGTATTGCTTGAATGCGTCTATTGCTTCATCTTTACTATTAAGTAAGTAAACATAGCAATATTGAGTACTATCGTCAATAAAAGTTATGAAATACTTTTTTCCACCTCGAGATGGTATTGACTTCATGTCACAAATATCTGTGTGAATTAAGTCTAAAGGATTTGAATTCCTTTCAACCGACTTATAAGGATGTTTAACATACTTAGATTCCACACATACTTGACATTTTGATTTGTCACATTCAAACTTGGGCAATACTTCCAAATTAATCATTTTCCGTAAGGTTTTATAATTGACATGACCCAAACGTATATGCCATAATTCATTTGACTCAAGTAAGTAAGACGAAGCTGAAATTTTATTATTATTTTCAACAACCATTACATTCAACTTGAAAAGGCCCTCAGTGAGGTAACCTTTTCCTACAAACATTTCATTCTTACTTATTACAACCTTATCGGAAACAAAAACACATTTAAAACCATTCTTAACAAGAAGTCCAGTAGAGACTAAATTTTTCCTAATCTCGGGAACATGAAGGACGTTGTTCAAAGTCACCACTTTGCCGGAAGTCATTTTGAGAAATATCTTCCCACATCCTTCAATCTTCGCCTTTGAAGCATTTCCCATACAAATCGTCTCATCGGGTCCAACAGGAGCATAAGAAGCAAAAGCTTCTCTAACAGCACAAACATGGCGAGTGGCTCCAGAATCAATCCACCACTCTTTAGGATTGCCCACCAAGTTGCATTCGGAAAGCATGGCACATAAATCATCAACATCATCATGCTTTTCAACCATGTTTGCTTGACCCTTCTTCTTGTCTTTCTTTGGAGCACGACACTCCGTAGATTTGTGTCCAGTTTTTTCGCAGTTGTAGCAGTTTCCACTGAACCGCTTCTTGCTTGGGTTGTATTTCGGTCCAGAAGCCTTCTTCCTCTTTTTATTCTCTTCAACAATATTTGCTCCCATTATTGTTGAGTTTCCACGGCCTCTCTTTTCAGCAGCTTTGTTGTCCTCTTCGATTCTCAACCGAACAATGAGATCTTCAAGGGACATCTCCTTGCGTTTGTGTTTCAAGTAGTTTTTGAAGTCCTTCCACAAAGGAGGCAACTTCTCAATCATCGCTGCTACTTGAAATGCTTCATTGATAACAAGACCTTCAATGAAATTTCTATTAGTAAAAATACTAAGATTACTACTTTCAACATCAATATTAATTTGAGTTATACCTTCAGCAAGGAGATCGTGAATAATCACTTGCAATTCCTGGACTTGGGTAATAACAGACTTGCTATCTACCATTTTGTAGTCCAAAAACTTTGCAGCAACAAACTTTTTCAACCCGGCATCTTCGGTTTTGTATTTCTTTTCAAGCGCAGTCCACAGTTCCTTTGACGTTTCTACGCCACTGTAGACGTTATACAAAGCATCCTCCAGCCCGCTTAGAATATAATTCTTGCACAAAAAATCTGAATGCTTCCACGCCTCAATCACGAGAAAGCGTTCAGTTTCTGGATTATCGGACAGCACAGGAACATCTTCCTTGATGAACTTCTGGAGACTTAGAGTAGTCAAATAGAAGAACATCTTTTGCTGCCAGCACTTGAAATCAATCCCGAAAAATTTTCCGGGTTTCTCCGCCGGTGCCAATGCTGCCGGTGTCGTTCGGCTTGTTGAGGCATTGGCAGTCACCATTGGAACAGCTTGGTTCTCATTTTCATTAGTCATCTCTGTAAAAGAATGACACAAACGTTAAAATCACGTAGATTTTAATAGAGTACAAAACCACAAAGGTTTTACTCTTCCAGAAACAGTAAGTACAAATACAGAAAATAAATTAAATTCCTTAAGCTTGTTAGTAGACTGTATTTGTAAAATAATTCTGGAAATATAAATGAATATAAACAGAAATGAACATAAACAGAAATGACATAAAACCAATTCGAGCCCACTGAATTCACAGTGTTTCCTTAAGGAATTTAATCCCCTCCTAGTACCCAAGGTTATGGATTATTTCCTCCCAGGATAGAACGAATTACACACTGGTGTAGTGGTACTTCAAACCCCAGCGTTTCAGCGAACACAAAGTTCGGTAGCAATTGGATTTAATATTAATACTTAATATTAATATTTTGTTATTAAAACAAATATTTAATAACATTTCTGTTAATATTTTACTATTAACAAATAAATTTGGTCCAAAAAGTTAATCAATCAATCATTTGACCAAAGCCGAAGCCGAAGCCGAGCCGAGCGAGCGAGCGACGACGATGGCGCGAGGCTTGCCTTCTTCTCAACTCTTTAAGAGCTAGAAGAAGAGCAATTGCTTATATACCCATAAAAAACCTCTTCCTCTTCCAATATGGGACAATGCCCATTTGCCGGGGGGGGGGGGGGGGGGACTTAAAATTTCACTCAAAAATTTCATTTCCCTCCATTTCCCATTCACCCTCTTTTAAGTATGTAATATATTAATTAAATACATCCAAAACTCAACACGCAGTAATTCTATACTTCAAGTATACTTCTAATTCGTTCAAGGACGAACGAGAATTTAAGTGGGGGAGAATGTAATAACCCTAAATATTTTTATATACTTATTAATTATGGGATTAGAAATAACTTTATATATAGTTATTGGGTCAAATACTAAGGTAGAAGGCTAATTACATATTAGTACAAATTAAGAATTAGAAGTAGGTAATTTTAGTTTATTATTTAAAAGGTACAAATGTGGGCCAAGCCTACCCTTTTACTGCCCTCACATGAGATTTTCTTAGCAAACATTAGGTATACTAGGCTTATATCTGTTAACAAAAACAGAAAAAGAGAATTTTCTTTCCGAAATTCGATGGTTGTGTTGGAAGCTAGCAGCGTGAGTTTTAGAGCTTCAGGTAATGGGATTGCTTTAGTTCAGTAACCTATACTTTGAATATGTATTACTGTGATATTTTTGGTAAAATTAATCATGGTAAAAATGAACTAATGATTGATAATGCTTAGTAGTCATAATGAAAAGCCAATTACTATTTGATTTGTAAATTGTCCAATGTATGTAATCTTTCGTAGAAGGAATTTGGATAATCTGGTAGTATATCTACTCCTATTCGATACAGTGGTGTATTCAATTGCATATGGAGAAGTATAGCCATCATTATCCCATACTAAAGATTAAGCAATTAAAGAATTGGTTTTGATTGTACAATTTTTTTTTTTGAAGAATTACGACTTCTACTACAAAATTTCGACCCTTTTGCTAGGAGTTTAGCTTCAATGATTTGGAACAGTTATGTTTTCAAGGTTTCGATACGGTTAGATTTATAAGCCACTGTATATTGTTTACGATTTATACTCTATGATTATTAATTCGAGACATGAATATTAGTATACCGGATATGTACATTAAATATTGAGTTTATATTGAGATATTGAAATATATTTTTACCTTTAAAAATATATATGGTAATTGATAGGTGGAATATTAAGATTCAACTCTAAGCTTGAAAGTTAAGGATATTGAGACTTGACCCGATTAGCATAATTAACCTTGCTAATTAATATTTTGCATAGATTGAGGCCATTGAGACTGTTTGGTTGGCGTTCTAGAAGTTGCAAGGTTGGGGAACTTGTCATTAGTGAGGTAAGTGACACTTTAAGCTTTGATGCTTGTTTTTCTAAAGCCCATTGGTCCAAGGATCTTATTGGATTATATTTATGTATAACTTACTCCTTACCTGCACGTCTATGCAGATACTGTTGCTGACGATAGAGCTAGTGGCTGACGAATTTGTTACGAGTTGATTCTATTTCTAAGGTGAACCACCGTATTGTTCGCGCAGGCTTGCGTTTCAGCTTTATCTAGTTTGTGTTAGTTACTTCCTTCTCTTTGGGGTTTGCATACCCGTCAGTTAAACTCATATTACTCAGTTAGATGATCCATGGTCTTAGTGTGGAATTTAGGCTAGAGTTCTATTATTTGAGTGATTGTTGATTTTTCTATCAATTGATCATTATTTCGTCTTTAATCATTAATAATGCTTTTAGACCTGCACTTATTTTCACTCAATATTTATGTAAATGGTTAAACGTATGAGAAATGCGTTCGCCTGACAAATGATGTTAGTTAAGTGACAATCACGTATAGGGCATAGTTCAGAAGTGACAGTATATCAACAAATGTAAAGCTAAACGAAAAACTTGAACGTGACTGCAACAGAAAGACAAGGCTCAAGAACGAGTATTTATAATCAATTAGTCCTTATTGAGGATTAAGAAAAGCTCGGTCTGGATTTAGATCACCGTATTCATAATTGATTAGTCCAAATCGAGGAGTAAGAAAAAGCTCAATCTGAAGTCTGATTAGTTGTGTTCTATAACCATTCATTCACCACACTGCATTGCTACATGATATCTTATCAATCCATCAAAATTATTGAGATCTTACAGGACATGATTTTTCGTCATATATAAATGTTATTCCCCAACCACAAAAAGATATCAATCTAAACAATTTAGGATGGTCACAATAATAAATTGGAACACATAGACAAATCATTCCTCACGTCAGACTTCACAGGACGACATTAAACACACACACATTATAATGACAAAAGTTATAGTGACAAAAACATGATTGTCACTTTGCAATTATAGTGACAAAAGAAACTTCACCAGATCATCCAAGCACTGGTAAGAAGAACCATTTTCAGTAAGACTATTCTCAATTTTCAATTTAAAATCCATGGCTTTTTGCCTCATCTCTTCCCCTTGTTCACTCACCATTAGCTTCCTCACAGCTCTCTCGATTTCATCTCTCTCCAACTCATTCTCCAACATGATTCCCACTCTCCAAACATGACTCACGTACCTCGAATTCACATTTTGATCCCCAAAACAAGGCCTACATATCAACGGAACTCCTTCACAAATACTCTCCAGTGTAGAATTCCAGCCACAATGGCTCCAAAAACCTCCTATTGCAGAATGTGCTAGTACTTCCTTTTGTGGTGCCCATTCCACAATATAACCTCTTTTATCGATACCTCGTTTTAAATTCTCGGCGAATACTAATTTCCAATCACTTCCAGTAATTGAATCGGGTCGAATTACCCATAAAAAATGCAGCTTGCTATTCACTAGGCCCCAAGCTATTTCCATTACTTCTCTCTCACTAATTGAAGCCACACTTCCAATGCTAACATACAGGACTGAGTTAGCAGCTTGATTATCTAGCCACTTTATGCAATTTCTGTCTTCTGTTAATAAGTTACAGGAAGTATTAATATTCTTAACGAATTTGTGCATTGGACCTATTGGAAAACATGGAATTTGGTAATGTTCTTTGATCTTTTCTAGGATTGGTTGTTCAAGACACTCTGTTGTGTTCCAGATGATTGCTGACGATGTTCTTACATCTGTTGTAGTTTTAATCAAATTTATCAAATCATCAACATGTGGAAATTTGAATATAGGAAGATCCTTAAACCTGAGTGGATCAAGTCCGGGCACCAAGTCTTCGGCAATTGAATCTATTTCACATAGAAAGAACAACAGTCAGTCAAATTTGAATTGTCCTTTACACGTCAATTAGGACAATAAATAATTGGGTATTTAGATAAAACTTCAACGAAAGACAATGGTTTTGAAGATGAGTTATAGTACTGGTCACAGGAAGTTTACCAGTTATACCAAGGCTCACCTTCAATATTACTATTTATATACGTTTTAAATTTTTTAATCTATGTATGCTAAGTTCGAATCAAAATTAATAAACTTAATTGAACGTTATTACGTGAATTAATCGAACTCGTTCTACTAAGCTCAAGCACCCTCTTCAGTCTTTATAATTGCATATCTCAGTTTAAGGATTACTAAGTTATGGTTGAGTCATGAATAAGGATGACTCTATAATTTTAGTTCACTATATCAGCATCAAATGCCAATAGAATTAAGGATACCTTTCAAGGGAAAATAACCTTTAGCTTCAAGTCTTGTAAAGGCAGCATAAGTCCAGGAAAGACTAGCACTGCTAGTATCCAATATAACACTAGGAATTTTAAGATTGTTAGCCACCTCTGCTACTTTATACATGATAGAATCATAGACTATGCACACAATTCCATCACTTTGTTGCTGCAGATGAGCCAATCTTTCTTGAAGAGTAACTTCAATATTGTCATTAAGAGCCAGCAATAATGATATAAACTTTAGAGAAACCATCTGGTATTACAAGAAAAGAGAAATAAGGATGGTTTAAAGGATTAAGAGAGTTGAATTGAGTATGAGAAATTGTTATAGAAAAGCCCTTTGAGTGAAGAAGTAAGCCTAATTCAAGCATTGGGTTTATGTGACCTTGGAATGGACATGGTACTAGTACTATACTCCCTAACCTCTGTTTTTGCACTTCCATTTCTCCTTTCAACTAAGATCTGTATGATTTTTTTTTTTTTTTTTTTTTTTTTTGTCTTAGCTTATATTGGACTTATTTATATTCCCTTATATAGCTTGCTTTTAATGAATATGATCATTTTAGTCAAAATTTCCCAGTTTTTATAATGGTCGTGAAAGTTCTTGGAAGCAGCACGAGGAATTCAAATTCCACAAAATGCTTATACAGCTTATTTTATTTTAGTTTGATAGTTACAAGTTAACCCACAACTAGCTAAAGGCGTGAACACTTTCATTTTTTTAATTGGGAGTTTTTTTAAAAAAATGGTAGGTAAGGGTAGGGAAAATAGGAGACGAAATTACAAGATGAAAAATCGAACTCTCACTAATAAAATAAAAATGTATAGCCAATCAATTGAACTACTAAGACTTCCGAGGATTAGGTTCGAAATCTTGAATAATTCAGAACAAGGGCGGTCCGACAAATTTTGTGGCCTAGAGCCAAACTTTACGAGGGGCCTTAATTTTTAAATTTTTTTATAATTATTTATTTGAAGTTTATTTTTTTTAGCTTTTCTTGAATACAAAGTTATTAATATACACTACAAAAAAATATTGTAATAGTGGCGTTTATTTTAGCGGATTACGGCGGTTTGTAACCGCCACTATAAGCATCAATGGCGGTTTCACGAAACGCCGAAATTACGCTCGCCAAAAAATTAGTACGGCGGTTTCCTGGTAAACGCCATAATCGTATCCTGCATATAATAGCGGTCTACAACCGCCACAATTCTCTTTTTAAAAGGCATTTTGAACCCGCCACAATTGTTTTCCAATTTGTAATTAATTTCTATAATTTTTGTTCATTAGATATATTTATCTTGTCCATTGCATGAAAGCTTGTCTATTACTTAACAGTTTTGACACAAATATAAGGGAATGATTACTTAAATAAATCATTTGTTGTACATAAAAACCATAAGCACTTCAGAATTACACCATTAAATGTATTAAAATTCATGGAGTAATATTTTACATCAATTCAACATAAGGGAAAAAACAGTAAAAAATCCTAGAGATACATTCAATGAACAGTACTCATGATCAGCAAAGTTACTTCCATCGAGTGATCTTGGGCTACTAGATGACGTGACGCAACTTCCTATACGCTGTGCCAACAAAATAAATAAAAGCAACAATTGATAAGTAGCCAAAACTCAATCATAATTGATACAAAGGATAAGTATACAATTGATATGTAACAGAATTTTCACAAAAGCTGAAACTTTCCTTAATACAACTAAAAATATTAGACTCTCTTTGCTCTCATAATTGCATACATAACACATGAAAATCACAGCCTTCAATAAACAAACCAAAACCGAAATAGGAGAAAGGCGATGTAGTTACCCTTGGAGTGAAAACACAATGAGACTCGAGAAACCTGTGCACATTGTGCAGCCTTGCTCCATTCCCAATGCCCGAGCTGCATACACAACATTATCTGTAGATTTGACCAAGCTTTAATTAACACTCAATTTCCATTCGTACAACATGTTCTCATCCACACAAAATTTATGGCGTCCCTAGTTTACAACTAAGAAACAAATAATGGAGAGAATAATCACTCAAGCACACCCCAAATCAATTGAAAGAGAGAGCCATTATGATCCTCTTCGCAATCAATCCCCAAACTGATATCACTTAACCATTAACACAATTTTTTTCAGTGACGCACGTTATCGAATAGTCTGTGACCATCAAGTCATCCTATTCTGTTTGAGAGCTTGGGGGGTGAGACTACTCCCCTAATTAGAGGAAGAAGAGAGTTAGCCATAGCTTGAGCTAGTTGAGAGAGAAGTAATTACCTAAGGAAAATTGTTACCATCGATAGTTTGGAGGCATTAAATGAATTTTCTTGTTGATTTGTTGAAGTTCTTCATTCCTGCACCATGATTCACATAGTTTAAGTTATTGATGAATATAATCTCGCAACGTGACAAACATATAATCCTTTTACAGTTCCTCCAAAGTCACCAAAGATCAATGGAAATAACAATTGGACCAGTCACACTCTAAGGACACATATATCTCACTTAATTTAATAGTTAGCCAACATACCATACTCCTTGCACATCCAGAATAGTTGTGCTTGTATCAATGTACTTTTTGGCACAACTTACATGGCTATAGGTTTTATCATGCTTTTCAATAGGATTGGCTCCACTTTTACCAACTAGCAGATTACATGTCAAACTAATGTGTGGGAATGGATAAGTAGATGGGCAATATTCACTTCATCTTGTTACCTGATTTCCAAGGGAAGGGACACCTTGATGAACAATCCATTGAGCATCTACAACTCCAATTTTCTCATGAGCAGGCTTCAAAACAGAATATGTATATATTCTTAGTGCCTTGAATACTTTGGTACTAACAGACAAATGCATGTGAAGAAAGTAGCTGAGAAGACTGAATTCGTAGGATGAGCTGAAGTTACCTCAACGCATCTACGAAGTGCAAAGTCAAGTCCTCAACCGTGGACCAAGTCATTCTACAAGTCATAAAACAACAGTCAATCTCAAACAAAGCACAAAGTCAAGACCTTCTCCATGTTTAATATGCAAGGTAGATACCTGAATCATATGCCATACACAACGCCATGCATCTCGGGAGAAGACAGGAACCATGATCTCTACAAATCTGAAAACAGAGAAGATTACATGGTAAGGACAACAAAAGAACTGAAACAAGATATAACTATTGACTATCTGTATGTGATCAATTTAGTAAAGACCTGCTTGTACTGCTATGTAACTAAACTTGGCCTGCTTGTACTTCTATCAGCTAAACAATGTCCTCCTCTAAAAAAAAATAAGGAGAGTAAGGTCGTAGATCAAACAAGCAAAAGATTACCTTCTATTAGAATGTTGTATGCCCCTGCATAACCTGATCCGTTAAGGTAAAAAAAATAAATCTCACAAAAAATATCCATGTCATTGGTTAGCAGTTCCAGTTCCCTTTACTTCCATGTATGTCTTACTTTGAATTTCGTCAAAGGTCAGTCTTTTCGGAACTCCTTCAGCATTTGCTCCCTGCACAATTAAGTGTTACAAACTTTAGGAATTTGTTGCCAGAAAATATAATTGCAAAAACAAAATAACAGACTTTGATAGTGTTTATCAATGTCCTTAAGAAACTCTGCTCCAACTATATTTGCTGTTGACAATATTCCAGAATTCCTTCAGGATTACAAAGTCAAAATCAAAATTCAACTTCGATAATACTTGAATTTCCACAAGAAAACATTATGAGTTTTTCAGAATATTATGAAGAGAAGAATGCTTAAGCAAATCCGATTGTGGTTACATTTTGGAGGGTTCCACCATGCAACACTCCAAATTTTTCTGATTATCTCAATTTCTTTAGTTACCGTCACTATCTGGCTGTTGTCCGAAAACTAAAAAGCTAACTATTGACTTTAACATCCAAAGAGATTAATTATTCGAACAAACTCTCTAATAATTAGTTTTCATAATCCAAATTTAACCATGCTCTGCCACTAACCAGACTGTTCCTTAGGATATAATATAAACTAATTTTCAAAAAATAAAGGAAGCTAAGAACAAATCCGACAGCTATATTGACAGATCAAAGCAAACTAACACTGAAACCTTAAAACCAAATCAATAAATAGCGAAAAGGAGATAAAATTAGAAAGGACCTAGCTGAACTTCGTTTGAAGTTGGGAGTTGAGATCATTGAAGCCGCTGCGGAGATAAGCAAACTCCATACGAGCTTCATCGTGTTTGAATCGATAGCCTCCTTCTCGTGTTTGAATCGATAGCCTCGGCGAGAATTGACCAGAAGCTTCGACATTCCTTCTCGTGCTCGAATCGATGGCCTCAGCGAGAATAGAAGAGGAGCGAAGAGAGAATCGCCGGCTATGGCGATCTGATGAAACGCCGGCAAGGGAGAGGGAAAACTGCAGGATTTATTTGGGGGAAGTTCTAATTGGTGAGACTTAAAGTGACGCTTGTTTTAGGTTTGTCCGCAGTAATATATGATAAACCGCCAATTTACGGGTGCATAATATGGCGACTTAAAAATTGCGCTAGTAGGGTGCTTATTATGGCGGTTTCATTCACCCGCCGCAATTTTGCCGTCTTTTTGTAGTGATAATTTTCTTATAGTCAATAACTTCTAATAAGTATTTCTCAATTGACAATATAGGTAATCACTTTAATCTTTCTTCTGATATTGTTGTTTTTAGCCGAGGCGGACTCAGAATTTGAAGACGACGGGTGCACTATTAGTGGAGAACTTTACCAGTAGTTGTTGGGTCCCGCCGGATACCGACAAACTTTCGGTGATAACTGACATATATAAGTGAGTTAGGAGGTGAAGTTGGGTATGGAGTTTGGGAAAAGGAAAGAGAGAAGTGATTTAGAGCTTTTACGGCTAGGGTTTTATCAAAATAAAAAATAATTAAAAGAAAAAAAGGAAATTTGGAGGGGGGGGGGGGATGGGTTGAATCCTAAGCTAAAAAGGCAAGATATAAATAAATGAAAAGTCTAGGCTACAGTTAATATTTAAGCTAAAAAAGAAAATTATTTAAGGAAGGTAAGGGGAGTCCAGATTCGAACCTAGGACATCCCACACAAAAGCAAAGGTAAGCAGCACATTTGACCAGTGCCCCCAGCACGCTTTTGTGCTTCAGGGTGCATAATTAAATATAAAGCCACTTTTCAAGGTATATATACATATAATACATATATATACAGAATTTTTCCCGATGTTTACTAGGTCCCGTGACCCTCTACCATATACGTAGGTCCGCCTCTGGTTCTTAGGTAAGATTTTATCAATTTTAATTTTGAAAACTTCTTTCCGCTGAAACAACGATAACATGAGTTACGAACATTATTTCATAAGCAATTTAGGCATATGGAAAAAATTAAATCTTTTTGTTTGATTAAGTGTATCAATTAAATTATTATCTTCTAATTGTACTATTTACCTTAATACTTTTAATTTAGAAAATAAATCTAAACCATCAAATCGAATTGATTATTATACTTTAAGGAACATTCAAGATTAAGGCAATATTTTTTTCAAATTTCCAACATCTAGTGATCTTAGTTTTTACTGCCAAATAGAAAATCAAAAATATTATCATATGCTTCAAATTGTTTAAATTTATTTTGAAGTGAAAAAATAACCTTGTCTATTATATATACTAATCAACTCTAAAGGACTCTTTGAAAGGTTATGAGATTTCATTATCAACATTCACATCAAATTGTTACTTCCTATATATCACATGTTTCTTACGAAATTCACGTTCGATATTCATTTCAAGTGCAATTTCCTTGGTAGAAATCATAGCAGTTGCACATCTTTCTTCTCTATATTAGTTAAAGAAAGAAATTAAAAAAAATTTACTTTACAGAACTCTTTTTTAAACTTATACATAGACTATTGGGTGTAATAAAAAATGAGGCCCCCATAAATATGGGGCCTAAAACGGTTGCTTTACTTGCTTTATGGAAGGGCCGCCCGCCCCCGATTCAGAAATGATAGAAAATCGGATCTGCAGAAATTAGTAACCCAAGAAAATTAGTAGTAAACTTATTATAAAGTAAGATCCAAAGCCTCAACGATTAAAATTATTGTATTGTTTACTAAGTTGATTAATAAAAGTTTCTTGTTTTAATCGAACTTTAGTTCTAAAGTCATTAACAGTTCAGAATTATTATTTCATACATACAAGTTAATAATTGCTAAAAGTTATGAACTTTGTTATTTGTGAATCATTCAAGATAAATCTTGTTCCTTAATCTAAGTATATCTTAGATAGTTGATGGATGTAAGACTTGCAAATGCACTATTATATTAAATTAATTATCGTTAATCTTTTAAATAAAGTCATAATAGGGACTCGTCTCATGGAGATTCAGCCTCTAAACGATAAGAGGCAACTATGGGCTTACTGATGCGGCGTTTGACTATTGCACACTTTACACTTTCGTTAAAATAGCTCGGGCTAACCAGTTTTTGGATTGGTAAATAAAAAATAGTCAGTGTTTGCAAAGTCATTAAAAATAGCCAATATTTGTTTGACCCAAATTTAAATCTGGGTTCAACCAATTAGATTTATGTAAAGTAGAGTCAATCTTAACTAATAATTATATCCAAAGAACAAGATTATCGACTTTATGGCAGATGATATATACATTTGGTCGGGTGATAATAAATGTGAGCAATAATAACAATATTCAATGATCAATAATAACATTTGGTCGGGTGGAAGATAGCTTTAACTAATAATAAATAACAATGAATGGCACTTAAGTAAATAAAAACGTGCGAGTCACCCGAAAGGGGGGATCTATGGATATTCTTTCTGACAATGATGAATGATTGATGAGCCTTGGAACAGGTTGTTCTTGGATCAAGTGAAAAAATTAGACAAGACTTTTAGTAAAAAGGTTGTTTTCGTATGCTTGTAAGATGTCCAGATTCTCTCCATAAAGTCAATGTATTTTCTTACAAATGAATATCTCATGTTCCGTATCATTGTGTCTCTTTCTATTTGTAGGGAACATATTCCTAAAAACCCTAATAGTATAGAAGCAGAGAATATCCACTAGAATATTTTTTTCGTCTTATCTTAAAACTAGACGTTATAACTCTGTCTAAGATACTCGATCTCGACCTTGATTTACGATGACTTCGCGACTTTGGTCTTCGCTGACTATTCGACCACACCCTTCATCGCCCCAAGTCCACCTCGGCCTGGGGAAGATCTTTATTGAAATCTTACTGATAACACGTGGCGGCCGATGAAGTCTATCACGACGCTGACGTGGCCTGCCTATGTCAAAGGTATTTTTTGGCCCAGACAGTTAGTCCCTCCGCTTGTTGAGGTCGTCCTCGCGGACAAGTTCAGTGAGCGGATAATGTCATTGATGGTCGAGCTTATCGATCCGATTATACAGGTCGTGGCCGTGACAACGATCAGGCAACGTGGCTCTCTGTGGGCCATGTGTTTCAAATTCCTTGAATTTCTCGGGTAATTTGTTGGAGCTAGTCGGTCCTAGAGAAAGAGTGATGTCATACGTCATGATGACACCGTTTCCCGACGCGTTGCATCAATTCATGTGTGACCCTTGATTGGTTCTACCATTTCGATCTTCGTGCTAATTATGGCCTGTTGTTTCGATTCTGGTGCCCCAAGCCTTATAAATAGGGGTGTTTTGTTGATTTTGAAACTTTTCCCATATTCCTCCTACTTCATAAGCAGAGCTTCTTCTTCTCCTTCGCAGAACCTTTTCACTTCTCGGTTACTTTCTCTGCTTCTATATCTTTTGCCACAATAATGTCGAACCTCCCATCACATAGCCACATGGAAGATCATTCTATCCCACTAGATGTCGTTTTTCCCGACCAAGGGGAAGACAGCGGAGTTGTCGTTGAGGAGGAGACCCTCCCTACAGTAGAGGAAATTGTATCTCCATACCCTGATGCTAAACTCGACTTCCAAAAGGTGTCGAAAGTGGTGACGGAGGTTCAAATCTATGATGACGGTTGAGCGATTAGCAGAATTCAAGGCTAGGCTCGGCCTACCTGGTCACGTGGATTTGGTCCCTGCGATTTGGTCCCTGCGGGTGACGATGAAGTGCGCGTTCATCGTCCTAGATTCTGCGCCCTTTATGCCTATTCTTTCATAATTGGATATTCTTTCCCTTTTCCACCGTTGATAGAAGAGTTATGCCGCTACTACAACGTATGCCCAGCACATCTTGCCCCTTACATCTTTAAGGTGGTCAAAATGTTGACGAAATTTGCTGAATTGACCGACGTCGATATAACAGTACGCCACCTAATCCATCTCTTTGCTCCTACTTTCTATCGAGGGACGTTGCTGAATCTTCACCACCGCGGGGGTAAATGCTTGGTGGTGAGGATGGATGACAAGAATAGTCGGCATTTCTAGCTTGACTATTTCTTTGTCAGTACCGAAGCCGTAATGTCCGCCGCTGCCGGCTTCCCCGAGGCTTGGAACCCTACTCGTAAGTGCTTATATTCGCTTGTATTTTTTGTTTTAGCATTTTTCTTGCTGTGGGTTGGTTAATCAACTCTCCCTTTTCTTCAGCTACTATTCGACCTCTTCAGATGGTGACCCATATTGCCGACTGGGTTAGACAGATCCTTCCTCATACGGCAGGGATACGTAAATGGTCGAGTTTCTCTCAGAGATTCAAGTCGTCTCTTCCCCCGGCAGGTAATCTCTTCCCTATTGTCGACGACGTGGTTCTTTTGTCTATGTTTGTTTCTTTTGCTGATTTATTCCTTTCCAACTTTTACCTAGGTTTGGTCAGAGGGTCCACAAGGAGGTTGAGGGCCCCCGTACCCTCGTTTCGGAAGAGGAGGGCCACTACGCCTTCAGTCTCCGCCCCTATCTCGGCCATTGCCACTCCTGCCTTCGTCCCAACTCCTGTTGTTGCTGCTTCTACCCCCGTCTCTATTCCGGCTGTTGCGACTTCTGCCCCTCCTCTATTTTTACTTATTGACAAGGACGATGAATACTCACCCAGAGACAGGGATCTTCAACCTCAAAAAAGGAGGTCTTGGACGCGGGTGACGGAGTCCCTCTAGCCGTCGATGCTATGGAAGGGGATTTTATGTTGCGTGAGACAATAACCATTTTTGTGAATGATGATGTTGAACCGAGTCTTGAGGCCTCGAGGCCGGTGGAAGTTGATGTAGGCGTGTCTCTGCATTCCGAGGGGAGGGAGACCGAGGAGGTAGATGCTGGCGGCCATGAACTTTCGCAGCAAGAGGAGGCTTCAACCTCTCGAACAGCCAAGGCTGCTACTTTGCCTACTGAAGAGAGGGGAAAAAGTGTTGCTGGAGAGGGCGACGAGTCAGATTTCGATGTCAACTTGGATGACCTGAGAATGATCGACGAGGAGCTCACTTAGCTTGAGGTGAGGTTGGAGAGGGGTTCGTAGACTATCACGATCCCGACGGATTGTGACTTGTTGGTGAACACTGAGGAGGTAGTCCATGCCCTCGGC